TCCCCCAACCCCTTCCCAGTTTCCCCAGTTTCCCCAGCACTCACCTCCCAGCGCTGTCTCAGGAGCAGAGCTGGGGACCAGGCTGGCCCCGGGTGTGAGGCCAGGAGGGGAGAAGGGCGGAGGGGAGGGTGATGGCAGCTCCTGGGAAAACACAGCGAAGAGGGATCGGCATGGTGGGAAAGGGGCTTCACCTCAGCACCCATGGAAGTGCCAGGGTGACACAATGACTCTCCTGCACCAACCTGCCCAGCTGCCTCCCGGGCCCCTGTAAGCTCCTCCACCACCAGGGAGGGGAAGACGCCAACGCGGCCGTCGAAGTCGCCGGTCCAGAAGCCATCGTCCACCTCGCCAGCAGCACGGGGCAGCACCCGGATGATGGCCCCCTCAGGAAAACTCAGCTCCTCGGGGCTCTGCCCCTCATAGTCGTACAGGGCTCGCACCAGCCAGGCTGAGGGGAGGGCGGGGAGGGGGCTCAGCACACTCTGGATCCCGCCCCCCTCTCTGGGGTGGTGGTGATGCCCAGCACTCACCTCCAGGCTCCAGCACCAGTTCTGCAGCCATGATGCTGGAGAGCTGGCGGTGCAAGGCAGAGGGGCCTGGAGGGCCCAGCCCAGCCCCTGAGTCACACCCCAGGGACAGCAGGTACTTTTCAGGGACATAGCCGACCTGCCCAGCCTTGTTCCGAGCCTGAGGAGGCAGAAACCACATGAACATCCCAGGCTCCAGAGTGGGGCCAGCCTGGGAATGTCCAAAAGGTGGCCCCCAGTATGGAGGGGAGCTCCGCCTGCTCCCACCTTCACCCACTCCTCTGCGTCCCCATCCTCAATGATCTCCAGCTCCTCGCCCTGGCTGATGGACAGCTCATCTGCCTGGCAGCCCTGCAAGAGATGGGGACAACGTGGCAGAGAGGCGGAGGTGCCAGCCCTGGGCAGGCAGGGTGAGGGCCAGGCAGGCAGGCAGGGCCATACCTGGTAGCCAAAGATCACCCGGCAGGTGTAGGGGTAGGTGCGGGCAGCTGGCCCAGGCTCATCATCCTCATCGGGCTCATCACTGTCCTCGTAGTCATCGAACTCAGCTGGGTCCAGCCCTGTGGGGGTCTCCTCACCTGTGCCCCCCATGGCCCCGGCCAGCCAGGCGTCCANGATCCGCTCCCGGGAGCTCCAGCCGGCAGCGCAGGCTGCTGAGCCTGCCCATGCTGGGAGCGTCGAGTCCCAACATCCCGGGAGAGCTGGCGAGGGAAGGAGCCGGCATGTGCCTGGAGGAGATGGGACTGGCGTCGGCAGATGAAGTGTCGGATATTCACGGGAGCCTGAGTCTGCAGGAGCAGGCAGAGGAGCTGGCGAGAGACGAGAGCAGCAGGAAACAGTCCGGAGGGGAGGATGGGAAGCAGCAGGTATGTTCCTCCTCCTACTGGTCCCCATGTGGTCCCCTGGGCTGGAGGGAGATTGCTTTTTGCCACCTATTTTCTGGTGTCTGAGGTAGTGGAGTGACTGTGACAGGTCTCACCCTGCTTCAGGGGCAGTGGGAGGTGCTGCAGATCTGCTGCCCCATTCCCTTGGCAAGGGACTCCTTCTCCTTTGGGGACATCCATTGGGATTTTGACTTGGGGCGGTGGAAGGTGCTGCAGACCTGCTGCCCCATTCCCCTTGGCAGGAGACTCCTTCTCCTTTGGGAGTATCCATTGGGATTTTGACCTGGCAAAGCTCCATTACTGCACGTGGTGTCCCCAGAGCCGTAGCCTCAATGGGGTCCAGTGTGGCCCCACAGGAACAGGCAGGGGCAGATTTCTCCAGGAGCCTTCCTTACCTCCAAGGCCAGGAAATGGCAAAGCCAAGTGGTCATGTCTTGGCTGTTTCCCCCTTCTCAGAGGGGAGGGAAGCCCACCCTGCCTGCAGCTCCCAGTACCTGGTACCTCCCAGTGTCCCACCCACCCACCTTGCTGGAGGGGTTAGAAAGCTCCAGGGGATTTTCTCCCTGCAATTGCCTCTGTGCAGGTACCAGTGAGCAAATGAGGCTGCTGGTGGTGCTTCAGACACCCAGAATTTTGCCTACACACTCATTTGTGGTTCTGCAGCTGGGAAAAGGTGATTTTCATGGAAAGGGGCTGGGAAACACCCCTGTGTAGTGTCAGCAGCACCAAGAGCTGGGCCTTAATTTGCCTCACAAAACCAGCCCGATGTGGCAAAGCCCTTGGGAGAAAAAGGAAGCCAAATGCCTGAGTAAAATTCTTGGCATGCTTCAAAGCCATGGAGATCCCCTGGGGCTGGTTCTGCACGGGCTGGGCACATGCCAGCAGCCCTTGGCAGGGGGTGGGATGGGGCAGGACTGGGTCAGCATGGGAGAGGCCTGGGGAAGGTGCCTGGCTGGATGCTGGATAAGGACAAAGCAGGATCCCACTGTTTCCACCTTGGCTGGAAGGTTTGAGCTGCCCTTCATGGAGAAGGGCAAGGCAGGATAGAGCTGATGGGCTGCAGCCGTTCCCCAGAGACCTGGGGACGTGGTGACAGGTCCTCCTGTGTCCCACTGAGCCTTGGGAATCCCTCTGATTCCCGGGGAAGCAGTTAGGTGCAGGGCAAGCCCAGTGCCAGGCTCCTGTCCTGGATGCTGCCCGTGATGCTGGGGTGCTCCAGGACATGGGGTCCCAGGAGAACGGTGACAGGACCTTCCTGGGATGTTTGTCACCAAGCCTTGGGCCATCCCTCATGCCCTCAGTCACAGTCAGAGCCAGCACCAGGGTTGGTGGCTGCTGCTGTCACGTCCTGCAGGTGGTGGGGAAGGGCAGAGGTGGTGCCTGGGCTGTGCTTTCTCCTGGAGGCTTGGTGGGGCTCTGCCCCTCGGGTGACTGCTGTGACCATGGGAGAGCCCCAGCTCCATGGGAGCGCTGACCCCTCTTCTCCATCCCACAGGGGCCCAGCGCGGCGGAACAGGACCGTGTGTGAGGTGAGTGCCTGTCCCCCGCCCCTGGGACAATGTCTGGGGGGTGGGAGGGCTGGAGATGGAGATGCTGCTGGAGATGGAGAGAGGCTGAACCCTTTCTCCAGGGGTCGGGACGTGCCCAGCCACAGGCAGCGACCCCAGGCAG